CGCCAAACCATTTTATCCTCTGTCTTTCTATATAACGCAGGCAGGACTCATTGCCGATAGCTGTTCTCACTTCTTCATTTCTCTGCCTGTCTCGTCTTGGGATGTTAATGGTTTTGCGGAGACATTTCATTTCGGGGATGTGTACATGTTACTTTCCTGAAGTTCCCTTTTTGTTGTTAGTTGTTTGCTTTTGTTGTTTTATTTTTTTTATTGGAAAGTGTTTTACAGCGCTCGCAACTGCATAATAAGGTCATATGTGCGTTCATGACATATTAACTATTTTCAGTTTGGTAGGAGTTTTGAATTTTGCCGATTTTTATCGATTTAAGGACTACTACGGGTTCTTTAACGCCCACAACTTGCACACGGGACCTCCGAGGTTTTTGACCGTTTTCCGAGAAGGCTAGATTTTAAATCTTACTTACCATAAGATCAAGGGTGCAGCTGAAAGACAGCTGTAAGAAGGAGCCAAGGAGTAGCAATGTTGTTTTGTCAAAATCGAAGGTAAGGTATGTTTTAATCCAAATTCAGTTTCTTTAAAAGACAAGGAGAGTTTTCTCTATAACCACACAAATGTACACTCCAATGAATCCAAACTTCTCCTATAGGCAGGACAATGCCCACTTTTGGTGTAGGTCAAGATTTCTGGAAACCCCGGAAATCTTGGTTAGCCCGCTTGTCCTTAAAAGTGAGGCAGAAGATATTCGGAGACGTCTCCAGCGAGCACCTAGGAACTACTCGGTGACGCACTCCCGCACACAGATGCACGGCTTTGGGGGGGGGGTGTCAAACTGCGTTTTTTTTGCTGCAGGTCACACATATAGCCACTAAAACTTCCGCAAATCAATTATTTTCAAGAAAATTTCAAACGTAACAGTAAAATATCAAATTAAGGGTTAAAACAGGGGGCATGCCCCCCTGTAACCACCCAGATTTGTCTACTTTGTCTAGAGGCACAAAGCAATTTGATTTGACTATCTCCAGTCGGAGACGTCTCCGGATAGATACTGCGTAAAAGTCAAAGGGACCAAATACCGTTTGGAGTTGGCTTGTCTGCTTGTCGGGGCGTTTGATTACATGCTGTTGTCATGGTTACACTCTGTTGTGGTGGGGCAGGTAGGGTGATCTTTTCAAAACGTTGACATAACCCTCATTTTGACACTTTCAGTGGAATAGAAAAGGAGAACATGAGTATGTGGGGCTGAGTGTGTGTGTGTGTGTGTGTGTGTGTGTGCGCGCGCATGTGTGTGT